ATCAAGCGTCGCCGTCAAGTACATGTAACAAAACACACACGCTGCATTCAACTCACTGTTGTTTGTTTCTCAAGTATTTCAGAGGTTTATATAACTGCGAACCTATTGCAAGCTCGTTATAAGCCTCAAATTTATTCAAAATGCATTTTCAATCCTAGTAAGTTTAGCATTTCAATCGAGAATATTAAATTAAAATTAAACTCTGGTTTGCTTATTATATAAAGTCGAACAATCTTTTTTTTAACTCAGAAGTTTTATAGTATTTTTGTAAAGAGAATAAATTCTTTTTTCTTCTAACTACATGATAACATGAATTTTAATGCAAATCTAAGTGTGCTATTTTGGTTGAATTTCTTTTCACTTGTTTCTTACCGTTTTAAGTCACATCATTTAAGACGTTTAAACGTATTAAATTATAACTTACCCGTCTCTTAAACGTATGTTAAATGACGTGATTTAAAACCGTAAGCAACGTGTCAAAAGCTTCAGCCAAATTACACGCTTATGTGTTTAAAAATAACACACTTGGATTTGCAGTGTTTTCTCGAATTTGTCATGAGTATATTTTAACACCATTACACACCAAGAAAATATATTCTTTGTTGAAGATAACTATTATTTAAAAGAAGGAAAAAATAAACTGATAAGTATAAACCTATCCAAAAGTTACACTCCGATTTCTTCCTAATTTGACACAAATGTAGAAGTACAAAAAATATTTAGATCATATTATTTTATTTTGGCTCACTTTGAGTTTCACGGGCAATTTATAGCTTTTCTCACTCCTATCATCAACAAGTACAACAAAATTGCATAAGAAATAAAATTAAATACAAGATATAGGCGTTTTTGGTTTGCTGATTATGAATATGAAGTTGAATATGTAAAATTACTTGTATAAATAATAAAATGTTTAAACAAAACATGTAAAAAATTGAAAAAAATTATACAAATAATTTCTCGGCTTGGCCGAGATTCAAATCATTTTTGACTAATTTAGCACATATTTGAAATATTTTGGTCAAAATCTCGGCTAAAAAAATTTAGAATGTTTCGTATCTCAGCTATGCCGATTTTGTTAAAATTATAATTAAAATTGCCGGATTTCGGTTTGGCTGAGATTCGAACCATTTTTGACTAATTTAGTATAGATTTGAAATATTTCTGTTAGAATCTCGGCTAAAGGAATTTAGAATGATTCGTAATTTTACATATTCAACTTCATATTCATAATCAGCAAACCAAAAACGCCTATATCTTGTATTTAATTTTATTTCTTATGCAATTTTGTTGTACTTGTTGATGATAGGAGTGAGAAAAGCTATAAATTGCCCGTGAAACTCAAAGTGAGCCAAAATAAAATAATATGATCTAAATATTTTTTGTACTTCTACATTTGTGTCAAATTAGGAAGAAATCGGAGTGTAACTTTTGGATAGGTTTATACTTATCAGTTTATTTTTTGATGAACTTAGCTATGCCGATTTTGTTAAAATTATTTAATTATATCTTGTATTAAATTTTTATTCTTATGCATTTTTGTTGATGATAGGAGTGAGAAAAAAAATAGTAATAAAAAAGTATATAAAAAAGTTATAAACTGCCCGTCAAACTCAAAGTGGGCCAAAATAAAAAAATATGACCTAAATATTTTTTGTACTTCTACATTTGTGCCAAATCAGAAAGAAATCAGAGTATACGTTTTAGGTAGGTTTACTTGTAAGTAATCGCTTTTCGTAGAAGTAGAATATTTTTCTGTGTAGCATCGATTTTGCTACAACACATTTTACGCGACTCCTTTCTATTCTAAATATTAATCATGTGTCTGGCAAAAAAAAGAATTCTATTCTCAACGTCAAAAACGCGAAAGAACATTGTAAATGTAAAATAACAGAAAGATCAGAATTAAGAGAGAGAAAATAGAAAAAAGAATGGAATTAAAATAGAATTAAAAATAGTTGAAGAGAGAGAGAGAGAGAGAGAGAGAGAGAGAGAGAGAGAGAGAGAGATTAAAAAATTCGCGAATTTAATGGCGAGTTGCTCTGCTCGCCGTTTCGTTCAAGTATATGCCGAAATCGTTCTACCGAATCGCAGCGAATCGAGATGTTATCAACTGTTCGACGTGTATCTCGCGGCGATTGACTGACATCCCCGTAATTACGGGAAAGGCGCGTGTCCCTCCGCCAAATAAAATTAGTCCCGACTTGGCCGCAGACACATCGCACTTTCACATGTTCCTTTCTCACGCCCCCGCGTCGCACGCCTTTCATAACGTCCACAGGATCCATTTGTATAGATTTTGACGGCAGCGGGGCCGATAACGCGTATGACGACTATGTAATTTCATCTCCGACTATCACTGCGATAGATCGCCAAGGCCCAAGAGTTTCGATCGGGCGTCGAGGAACCGGTATAATTTTCGTGGGCTCGGGATTCCGATGTTGTACGCATGCGAGAACGATTTCTGTCGCCGTTCACGACACTGAAAGTACGCCAATTACCGCGAGTGATGACGAAAATTGAATGGACTAACTATATCTTGTTGATCCTCTCCGTTTCCGCGCCACGCTGGATAATTAAATCTCCTAAACGTCTTAGATCTTTGATAGCTCGTATCATGCGAGAAAATATAAATTTTGAATACGCAACATTACATATACAGTTCCGCGCTTAGATAGACGCCAACAGATAACGAGACCATGGTCGAGTCGTCACGCATTTATCATTCACCCAAATGGGCAAAGCTGAGATTCCTGTAGTAACGCATCAGTCGGGAACTGGGAGATTTTTTAAATGTGTCTAAACGAGAGGAATCATATGTTTTTTTATTTATTATTAGATTTTATTTTATAATATTTTTCTGTTATATTTATTTTATTTATTTTATTTATTATTAGGCATTTTATTAGATTACACATTCAAGAACATATATACAGAAAAACATCATTCTGCTGCCAAGAAAAGCCATTTCAGTTTATTTTCTTTCTTGCAAGCGACGGTCATCTTTAACAAAGAATATTTTCTCGATGTCTTAAAAAATATACTTATCACAAATCTGAAAAAAGCTCATCATTAAAAGAATTTATTCTCTCTACAAGAATACTAAAAAACTTTATCAAAGAAAAAATTAGTTCGACTTTCTGCATAGTAAGCAAACCGGATTCTTATTTCGACTTAATTTATTCTTGATTAAGATGTTAAATATTTTACTAGGATTTAAAATGTCGATTAGATAAATCTGATGGCTTATAATGAAAACTCACGATAGATTTGCGAATATATAAATTCGTCAAATATATGAAACAAGTAACATTTACTTGGATGCAGCGTGTATCTTTTCGTGTGGACATACATCAAGCTGGTTGAAAGAAGTCGCTCGGTAAACGGCCGCGGTAACGATTCGCGATGCGTGGATTTAACATCGACGACGCGGGCGAGGGATGAGTCGCGATCGTTACGAAAACACCCTCCGTACGGGCGGTTGCTGTCCGTTTGATTCACCGTTTCCTGCGATCGTCGTATTTTTGTCCGCGCGTGCCTCCGCGTTTCTTTCGCTGGCTCTCTCCACGTCTCGTCCTTTTCCGCGCCACTCTCACAACCCCTCCTGCTATCTACGACCCTGTCGTATTTTCTTACGCCTTCAACCCTTTCTTTTTGGTCCGCGGCGCTCGTCGTCGTCGTCGTCGTCGTGCCACATGCGCCGCCGCGAAGAAAACGCGCTTCGTTCCCGTTCATGTGTACGTGCCTTCAGAAGGGCGAAGGCACGCGCGTGGAGGTGAGCCTACGTAGGTTTAATGAGCGCTATTATGACCTAGTTGCACTCGACATCGCGCACATAAATCCCCGCGGCACATTAATCCTCGAGAGCGTCCGGGAGTGAACTCTCCTGCGAGTGGCACCCAACGAGGGCACAGAGGCCGGAGAGAATTTATTAATCGTTGCAGAAAGAAAACGAAGCCCCCCGCGGAAGAAGGATGATCGCGTTCGGAAGTGACGAGCGCGGACTGCCGCCACGGTTCGAAAAAATTGAGAAATTCGCGCGGGAAGACCTTTGCGCAACCCTCGCGCCTATAAATAAGTTGGGATTTCAAAAACGCGTGCTTGCACCGGGAATGATACATTCGTACACGCGAATGCATCTATCACAGACGACATACTTTTTCATAAATTCATTGATTGATGACTTAGACAATATTTATTTGCTAATTTTATAACGACTCCCGATGCTTACGTGACGCTTTTGGAATTCTCGGGAGATCCACTCCCGAAACGGAATAGATTTCTATCTATTTTTCCAGCCGGTCGACCTCTCGCATATTTCTACGAATTTAATTAGGATTCTTTCTTTTTCTCTCACGCGCCTATCGTGAACCGGACTTTACCTCCTTCGAGATCGCGCGTCCCCGGCATACCGCGAAGATACACGACGTACAAAGACACAGCGCGTGATCGTGTAAGAAAAAAAATACAACAGAAGAGGAAAAGGAATGAGCGCGCGAAGAAATACAAGAAAAGGGGAAAAATAAATCCACGTTACCGCGTGTTCGCGCTCTCTCTCTCTCTTTCTTTTTCTGTCTCTCTCTCTCTCTCTCTCTCTCTCTCTCACTCTCTCTCTTTTTCGTTTGCACTTCTCCTCGCATCTTTATCTCTCGTCATCGCTTTCTCCTGGGCGTGATTTACGCCCAGGTTGTCTTCCTTAATTAGGTTAAGGCTCTTTGGTCCTGCTGCTCTGCCGAGAGCAGGACCAAAGGCGAGAAGGATAGCGCGCAGCTTCCGATTCACTCGCAAAATTCACTGCGCTTAGCGCGACAGACGTGCGCGACTCGTTCTCGCTTTTCTCTCTATCTCGAGAGAAAGAGAGAAAGAGGAAGAGAGACTCGCGGATAAGCTCCCCACGTGGCGCGCCTAATTAATCGCCTTTCGTTAGTCGCTTCTCTCGCCGGAGGTTCATTACGCTTCATCGGTAGCTTTGCCCGCGTCTCTTCGCTGCGCTCGACGAGAGAGAGATAGATAGGCAGAGAGAAGAGAGACGCGCGCTTAACGAAGCGCGACACGGTAACCGACGACGGCTCAAGTAGTAAACCGCCTTCTGCGCCTCGGTTGGCCAGCCATTGCGTACTCGCAGCCACCGAAGGCCGTTCTAGGCCGTTTGGTAGCGACCGTTAGGCAATGCTTCTTGCACCGGTTACCTTAAACGTTCGCCTGAGCGCGCCCGTTGTCCTTGCTAGAATTCGAGCCACCGTGTTGCGCGCCTCCTCGAAAAGCGACTATGCCGACATAATCGCCGTTGACCCGTGAGACACGGTCGCGTCCGTGATAGAAAGAGTTATTTTCCTCTCTTTCGCGAGAGAAGCCTTCAACCAGGCTTCGACATTCGCGCTCGATACAGTTCATGCGAGAACCAACGGCGCGGGACTCGGAAATGCAATAAAAAAATTATTTGGTATTAGTTTGGTATTAGTTACTATAATCATATAATAAAAGAACTTTTGTGAAAGAACTTTTTTGAAATTTTTGTGGTAAATGTATAGTTAATATGATTATCATACATTACTAATAATATTAGCTTACATGCACTGAGAGAAAAAAAATGATTAATTTGAATTATAGTTATTTTTTATCCCAACCATATTTTCTCGTTATTTTAACATAAAGATGACAGTAATAATGTGCATAAGATTATTACCACCAACTAGTAGAGTTAAATACAAACGTATAAGTAATAGTAGAGTTTAATACAAAGTAGTGTGATCGTGTAACAAATAATTTCGAGTTTTTCATGTAAAATGAATCGATTGTACTTCTGTATCGTTATGATTTTATGAAACAATGTATACGCCATTTCAATCTATGATCCTCTGCTGTCCGTTGCATACATTGTTTCATAAAATTATATTAATTATTTCATGAATATATAATCGTTATATTTTAGCTGAAAAATTCAAAATCACTCTTATTACACAATCCAACGTATCGCTATTGCTACTTCTTGGCTAGAACAGCAGGGAGATATAGTTGGCGTCGAAAATAATAATTTTAGAAGATTAACCATTTTTTCTCTCAGTGTGCCATCGTCGTCGCCGTCTCATTCCCGCGAAGCAAGTGCTTACTCGCGTCCGACATGCGAGTCGCATTTTTTTCAGGCACTTTGATACGACCGACGCCACCTTTACGACACATTAGGTCGTAACGCGGCGACTCTTCGCTCGGCCTGATTTACGCCGTGCGGCTGCGCGTAAGCGCGTTTATTAATTCGCGACCTGGCCGTGTCGACCAGGCGCGGGTGCGATTTAGTAAGGGGAGAATCAGCGCGTTATTTTGCACTAACGTGAAATCCCTGTAGCGCGTCTGTAGCGCGGAATAAAAGGCGGCGGGCGAGGAGGAGACGGGCGGGCCAGCCATTGCTCGCGAGGGAAACTTCGGAATTTATTAACTTGTACGGTACGTTCTTGCGCCTGCAACACAGCCACCCAGAACTCAATAAAATGTACTTTCGTTACTTTCTCGCGATCTCTTTTTCCTCCCTGTTCTCCACGCCGTGGCGCATGCTCGTTTATTTGTTGGCCGCGCGATAAAACTTCTCCTCTCTCTCGCCTCCTCTCGGCTCCGTTTCTTTTTCCCCGTCTTGACGTCTCGTCGCCTCGTCCTTCCCTCGGCCTTTTCATTTAAACTGTCCGCCGGTCGTAAGAAATAATGCTGGAAAAAGTCGCTGCTCGCCTCAGTTACGAGATACCCTTTTTAACGATCGCACTTAACCGTGCCTCTTGACGCTGACGTACGATGTACACAATATTCGCGATTGCAACGGGGAATTAAGCCCGATATAAATGCAGTCCCTTTGCTGAGACTCCAATCGGAGTCGTATACGCGCCGTATACGTTTCCTCGTGCGCTTTACACCGTTCGTGTTACCAGAATCCCTTCTGTGTTCTCGTCTTACTCTTCTCTCTCTTTTGTCCCGTCTCTCCCTTTCTCTTTCTCTTGCAAAAAATTCAGCTGATCGTCTAATAGTCGGGTACAACGATCATCGCGTTTATTTGTCGCAATTGCCGATGCTCTCGTCGTAGGAACAACGGATACACAGAGATGTCTAAACGCACGATTGTTCGCGACCGCATTACGTAAGTCTGCGCAGACGAAGATGGTGGTCGGCTGCAGGTTTGGCCATCGTCGCTCTTCCGGACTCGAAATTTTGACTCTACTTTTAACCTAACTATTCCATTTAGCATCTATTTTAATACTCTGAAACCTACATCAGCCTCTTTTGATTCTTTTTAACCTACTTTTTAACTTACTCGAGTCGTAATTTTAACTCTACTTTCAGCTTTACTATTAACATCCTACGATAATACAATCTGTTTTAACGCTAAAAAAAGTGAAAAGGGAAATTTCAGATATCATCAGGGTCAAAGTAGAAGTAAATTGTATCATTAGAATTAAATCTGCTTTGCTAACTTAGCTCCTACTGCGTTGTGGAATTCAAGGTTTAATACGGGCCAAAATTTCGACTCGGATTTCGGACTCTTCTTCCTTCTCTTGTTCATCGCGACGTTAAAGACGCAAACTGAGCGTGATAATAGCGGGGCGGGAGTTGTTTCTCGCGATTCCCGCCATATACCGGTATAGACGAACGGCGGCACGGTCTATGGTCAACTATAAAGGCCATCTGCTCGCTTTTAGAGCCTCTTTTATATCGGCCCGGTGACGTCACTCTCGCCGGCGAGAGAGACGGACGCGCCCACTCGCCACCGTCGTGTAACACCTTGCTCTCCTCTTTGTCTTCGCCTACCTTGCCCCGTCGTCGTGTCCGTCCGCGACGGGTCCGTCGAATCCAACGAGCCGCATTGACTGACGCGCGTGTTATATGGCGGAACTTTAACGAGTGTTCGTCTAATCGTCGTGAACCGAGTTTCGAGGAAAGTCTCGCGCGACTGGTCGGTGCTTTTGGCACGGTTATTACCGCAAACGTCATTGTCGTTCGTAAATCATTGACCGCGCTCGTTTCCACGCGTACGTGCATCGTGACACCGCTGGACGCATAGTACAACGCGAGAGATAGAGAGAGGAAGAGAGGAGGGATGGCCGACGGTCGACCGGATCAGCCTGGTCTTGGAGAAGATCGTTAGCCGTTGCTCTGTTTACGCGCCGTCGCGCTTACACGACAAACGATCTTTCGAATAAACCCGTCCAGAGATGGAGCACCGTCACACCTGTCACGAACTTTTCTAGATCTTATACCGGCTCGATCAGGTCGAGCTTCGATTTGTATCCTGTCTTCGGCCACTTCAAGTATACTGGTCTCGAGAAAATATGAAAATATTCTTAACAAGCTTTGAATATGTCGCAGAGCGGTAAAGAAATATGTATTTCTGACTCGGGCTTCTTCGCATGTTTAGGGGTTGAAATTACCCTTCTCCCCCAAAGGAAATTTGTTAAAAGTATCTTTAAAACCCCGGGTACATGTAAAAAATATTTTAGACGAAAATTTTTATGCTCTTTATAATATTATTATTATATTATATTATTATTAATATATTATTAGTATTATTATTAATATATTATATTATTCTTATTATATATTATTATTACAATTGTGTATATTTAGATTTTCCAAATGTCGTTTTTCAATCTCTGGTTACTCTATTCAAAGTTCATTAAAAAAATCGACGATTTCAGGGAGAGAATATTATAATTTTTTTTTTTTATAAATTCCCTTCAATTTTACTATATTTTTAGAAGTGCAGAAATAAACTGTCGATAAGGCATCTATCTTGCTGAGGAACATAGTGAATTTTGTTCGAAATGTTTACCCTCGAAATATAAATTCCTAAAATATAAACGGAATATGTATAAAGTGAAAAAAAAGTTAATTACTGCAGAATGTCAATCCACTTCTCAGCTACACAATTCTATAATAATTTCTACTAAAAATAATCTTTCCGTGTCCCGTGTGTATCTTCTTGACGATGGGTATCGCTCGTAAAGATCGTGTGGCGATCGCGAATGATTTTTCGCCGCCAAGGGACGGCGACGGTGTCGTCGTTGTCGTCGTCGTCGTCGGGGATTGTTTGCGATCTCGTAAGCAAGGTGCGAGGTTTCGTAAGGCGGCGTTAACGCCTTCTAGCGAGGATCGATCGAGCCAGCCTGGTCGCACGTTTGGCACGGCGCCAGGCAGGCGTCCCGACGCTTTCCGAGATGGTGGACCGAGTCCGGCCGAAGGCAGCGTCCCGGCGTCAGCGTCGGCGTCGCCGTCGGGCGTCCGTCAGTGCGCGTGTGACATGGCTGCGAGGCGTTACGGCGACCTAGACGCCCTCCACCTCGCGATGTGAACACACCCGCGACACCACCTTCGCCTACGTCGACCTCGCCACGATCCCCGTACGCGCGCGACTCCCCAGCGGCTCTATCGATACACTCGGTCCACGGAAATGAGTCAGGATCGCCGAGCGCCGCGAAAGACTGTAGCTCGTGCAAACTCGTCGGCGCGGTCCACGCACCAGCTCGTGTGATTCCCGTAATCACGGCAAGGATCGGAATCGTCGTTGTCGACGGTGCATCCTGGCGCGGTTGCACTTTCTCGTCGGTGGTTCCGAAAGTTCGAAGTCGCCCGCGTGCTCGTGTTGAAGGGACTGAAGGGGACTGTCCACGTGAAAACTCGTTCCCAAGCTTCCCGAGTCGAGTGATCGTTATGCCGGCGGGTCTCTGATCGCCGAACGTCACGGCGATCGCGGGAAATCGAGACGCGTGGACAGGAAGAACGGGACGATGTGAGAGAGAAAAGTGCGAGGTGACCTGAGCGAGATGACGAGTCGGAGGAGGGTTGATCTCTGAAGCTCGTCGCGAGTGCGTGCGTGCGTGCATGCATGCATGCATGCGTGCCTTATCTCGCGAAGCGCAACGTATCATTCCCAGACAGACAGACAGATAGACGCATTCCCTGTAATCTCGAGACGGCGAAAACAGTCGGCCGCTCTCTGTTTTCGGAAGTTTGTACATATAAATGCTCGCGCGCGCCATCGGTGCGTTATTCCCAGTTGGACGTGTTGGTCGTTCAGGTTACGTGCAAAATTTCACACGTCAAGTTTCCTCATCCGACTGAGCAAAGTGGAAGAAAACTGTTAACGTAGACAGCCGAACTCACCGCGCGAATTCGACAACTTGGAATGCGCGGAACTATTCCGTGTCTCTTTTCGATTCGAAGACGTTTCTCCGCCGAATGCTCGACGCAGCATGACGCGATTTTGAGCGAGAATTTGGGACCTGCGGCCCACGCTCGATGATCCGCGCGAGCAGTGCGAATGACAGAGTGGCTGCGCGCCGAGACGACATCGCGATTTCGGGTCTGATCGGGGTAACGTTGATTCGACGACGCGCGGTCCCGGCCGTCGCGGCGCTCCCGCACGCGAAAAGTGCAGAGAACGGGTGGGCGGGAGAGGGAGGCAGGAGGAGTGGGTGCATGTGAATGTGCGCGCACGTGCGTGTCTCTGTGCGAAGTGCATAAACCGACGATGGGATATCGGTGAGATCACGAGGTCACCGCAGAATGCCTGAGCCGAGGGCAAAGCGCTGTAAACACTGTGACGGTACGCCACGCGACGTGGCCGCGCCACGTCGACGAGTGTGTTGCACCTCCTCGCTGTGTGACGATCCCTTTAACACACTTAACGATGCCAGCGACTAACATCTGCTGTTGACTAATAAAGATCGTTGCGTTCCAGCCGATTGTGTGCCGTTTCAGATTTCCCACTCACTCCCTCACCGTCATATATCCGCGCGCACTGAGAAGAAGATACTTGAACATTCTTTGAAATAAACTTTGTCCCATGAAGAGATTTTTCAAATATTTTCTTTCTATGTGCGAGTGAGCAGCAGCATGGACGATCGCCGCGGTTTCCCGCTGGGTCCGCGCGCGCGCGAAGTCCACGAGGTAGAGGCGAGACAAGCGGCGAGTTACTTGCCGCATGTAGGCAAGTAACAAGTCCTACTTGACTCGCCTCGTCATTAAGAGTCGCGTCGCGTGCCGTTGCGTCGTGTATCGAAAGTGAGATCTCGCGCGTCGCGTCCCGACCCGCTCGATTTTCTTTTTTTTCTTTTTCAACCGCAATCGCCGGAGTGTAATGAAGTTCTCCGAGCGGCGGACGAATTAATTAGGACGGAGTTGATTAATTCGCGGACCGTTTGTCCCGCGAATGAGCGTGATGAACGGAGAAACTCGCCTCGTTTAGAGGCGACATGCTACAAGTCTCGGATCCGCCGAGGGGACCGAGACTTTTCGCGAACGCGCGACTTGTTAACTGGGATAAGACTATTTTATTTGTGGGTCATTTATTCCACGACCGCGCGACCGGACATTTGGACCAGGGCTTGAGGCAGACCGAGACGAATGCGCGAAGCGCATTCCGGATCGGCCGGCGACCACGTCCAACACTGCACCCCTCCTCCTCTCCCCCTCGTCCATCCGCGTCGCTCTCCGTCGCCGTCCCGTTCTCTTCCTCAGGCTTTTTCTCTTCAACCCTTTCGCCGGCCGTCTTGCTCCTTTTCTTTCCTCGTTACCTCTCGGCGCTCTCCCATGCCGCCATAGTATTTTTACCCACGGTTGTTCACCCTCTTATCTGTAGGTGCAGTTGACGGTTATCCGGTCGGACCCGGCCGGATCAGCCGTCGATTTACGCGCCGGTTGCGCGCGATCCGCGACGCCTAGTAGAGTCGAAATATTGCGCGAGATTTATCGGCGAGAAAGAGAGAGTGTCTGTGCATATATGAGAGAGAGAGAGAGAGAGAGAGAGAGAGAGAGAGAGAGAGAGTCGATCGTCTAGGAGTGTGGGAACAGTGGCTATTTTAAAAATCATATTCAGAAGCAGGATCTCGGTAGCGTTTATTTGAATTTCTTTCGCGATTAAATCCCCCTCCCTGTAAACACACCGCGCCCGTGCAAATGTGCTAACGATCACTCCGATTCCCGGTGTTGACCTACTTTACTTTGTTCAACAATTTTATGCCGGACGATTGCGCGCGATCTTTCTTTATTGCCGCATCTGTTGGTGCCTTTGTAAACACCGTCGTCGCGAAGTACAGAGTCAGACATTGGCACGGTAAGTGCCAAAGTGGCAAAAATTCCCTCTCGATCGATTCTACCGTTCGCGTGGTCGTCTTCTCTGTGTCTCCGCAGTCAGGAAGAGAACGAACGCACGCCGACGTCGCGCGTTTCCTAGGAAGACAAACCTCCTCCTCGCGAATGACAAATGAAGTCGGCGCGCGTGCTTCCGTGGGCGCTGCGACGTGCTAATTATACATCGGATTTTGCGCGAAATGAATCCGTGACGGATCGAGTCAGAAAGCTTTTTAGTCCACCATAATTCCGGAAACTTTCCGTTTGTTCTAACGATCAATAAATAACCGTAAAGTTAACATGACACGCAGCCTTTCCTTTTAGCCTACATTTTCTCATGATTTCGAAGCGTGAATTTTATGGCCGTTTATTGATTGTTACAGTAAAAGGAAAGTCTTCGAAATATTTTACAAATGTGCTCAATCGATCGTAAGTGTCATTTTATGGACATAACCTCTTATTTTTTATAAGAATTTTGTAGGCATACGTTTTCTCTCTCTTCTGACGTCATTAATCAAGATGATCGTGGCGGTCACGAAAATCTTAACGAACGCGTCCGTGCTTTCAAACGCTCCTCGAGCTGCGTTAGATTAGCTCGGAGATCAAACGGACCGATTCTCGTCGCGCGTGAAATCGAACATTGCGATCTAATTTGCAGATTAAGTTAATCCCGGCTGAAACAGGAAGTATTCGTGGAAGGATTTCTCATGAATTCAAACAAGGAAACGGCTCTAACGACATATAATCACAAATAAATTCAAATGCTTGAAATTCCGGCAAGCAAGAGCCGAGCAGGCTGACCTAGGAGCTAATATTGTCGAATTGAAGGAAGTCTAATATAGTCTAATTATAGTCGAATTTCAAGCACTCGAATTCGCGAGAAATAATATTGAATGCTTGAAATTCCGGCAAATAAGAGCCAAACAAGCTGATCTTGTTTAATTAGAGAATATTGGCTTCTAGATCATTATTTGGCTTTCATTTGCCGGAATGACAAGCATTCGAAATCATTCCTCGCGAATTGTTGCATAAACTCGCGACAATCTCGGTATCCCGGGACGGAAGTTTCCATGGATTTATTTAACTTTCGGCCGGAATGCACGTCGAAAGTCTTACGTCAGTACCCCATGAGTATGAGGCGAACGAGCCGGCCGCGTTGGCGAATACATATCGGAAGGATGATGCGATCTCGCTTGAAAAAATTGAAGGTTGCGTGCTTGAGTTTTGTCTCATCATGCGCGCGAGTAATATATCGTCCATTTGCATCCAGTTTCTCTCGTATTTTCGAGAGAAATGGTAAGCGTGACGAGAAGAACGACGAAGTTTTATTCTCGCTCCGTCTTCTCGGGCGAGTCTTCTCTTTATCTTTCCTCGTCTTCTTTTTCTTCTTTTCTTTACTTCGTTTCTTTTTTATTTCCATGTCGTTTGATCGCGAAGTGTTACATAACGCGAAGCTTATTTCTATGCTTCTTTTCGCGCGATGATCACCGAGTCCGCGGTCAATAAGTATAAAATCGTCGGCGCGCGTGTGGGCGTTGACAATCGTATGACCGCAGGGAGGATCGTTCGCCGAGTGGAGACGATCGATAAATCTCGATCTAAATTTATCTTCCTCACGGGAACGTGTTTCGCGCGGCTCGTAATCGTTCGCGCTGCTTTTTTCGATTTATGGCCGGCGGCTTCCAGCTATACGGTTTTACAGCTTCGCTTCGTTGCGTAAACGCACGTTATCCCGCACACTGTATACCGTAACTTGGCGACGATTACTCATTCTCGCGCTCTCGAAAAGACAGGTAAGGAGGGAGGGAGAATTTCTCCGTGTTATATGGTCCGAAATTTTTGGACGACCTCAACAGTCCATCTCGCGACGACGACGGCGACGGCATTAAAGTGATTCGTAGGTACGCGAATGGCTCATAAACATAGCGGCGAACAGCTGTCGATGGAAAACACAGGTTATATTTAAGCCTGACGTTGGATATCCGGCCGGTCTTGACAATAGCTCGGACACACAGATTCGTTTCGCTCTCGCAACGGCGCGAGATGCCCGCGAAATGCGTGCGTGCGTTCACGCGCGTAATCGCAACAGATGTGATTAATCGTTTCCTCTGAAAAGCGACCGCGCGGTAGTCAATAGCGCGGGACGTGGAAAGAATGCCGCGTATAAATATTGTGGAATAGGTCTGAGAATTTCGGGACACCGGCGCGGCCGCCGCGCCGCCCACGTTAGCGTGCGTAAATTAAATGGCTTTTAAAGAGCAACTCTTTCGAGCGACTTTGGGTTTACTGTGTAAACGTTGTAAATCTAGGCGGGCCTAGGCGAGGGTGAGATCGCGAACGTGCGCCAACAGGTGGATCGTACGTCATTTTTGTTCAGCCGTCGCGTCGTTGTCGCTGTACGGAAAAAAGAAATTTGGTCGGATTAAACAAGTATCAGAAATTGCGGTTCTAAATTTAGCAGAATTTTCTTCAAGTTAACAAGATTTCTTGTTAAGCGGAAATCTTGTTCGATTAACCAGAATCTTGTCGACTTAAACAGAATTCTGCTAACTTCAAGTGGAATTTCTGATTCGTTCATATTTCATTTAGTTAATCCAACAATTTTTTTTCCTTTTGCGACTTTTCCGTCATTTTCGACGTGCCACTGTCAAATCTTGCTTTACACACTTTTCTTTTTTATGTGGAAAGTGAATAGACACTAAAGGTAGTTGCTCATCAGGGAGATCATCTCCGCGAGGAACGAATACCAGACTAGAAACTTATCTCATAATCCTGATCAGGTTGACTTCAGTCAGTTATCTTGGCTTGTATAAGCCCGAGTCGAAATTTTAATCCTGCTTTCGGCTTCAATGCTGCATTTAATTTACTTTGATACTCTGAAGTCTACGTCAATCTCTTTTGATTCTATTTAACTTACTTTGCCGACAAATTATCTTTAGGACCTACAAGTGACATTCCGTGCATTTTCTGCTATTTAGAGAAGCTTAATAGGCCTTTAATTTCCGTGTGTATTAAATATACACTGATCTTTCACTGATATATAAATGATAGAAAATTCAGATCGAAAGTGGAACTGAAATTTCGACACGGGAGATGATGTTGAGATTGAGTCCTAATTATTAACAAACAATATTCTATAACTCTTATTATTAATAAGATCCTGATTGCCACGTTGCTTGACTTGACAGAATCATTTTGTGCAAAACAGACGATTAGGGTCAGTCTATGGGATAAATTAGTAAAGTCGAATGTGTCCAGCGTGAGACGCGACCTTCGCAGGACTCGCAACTGCTGCCGCTCGTTCGCGAATGAGAATTTGGCAGCTCGCGATTCTGGACGACTCTCTCGATTATTTATCGGCAAGATATGCGCGAAGCGTGGGCGGCTGCCCCTCTCGTTTCCCAACCCCTTTGCCGCTTTCTGGCTGGACTCCAAACCGCGACACCCTCACACCTATGGATTATTTCTCGCATA